GGAAAGAGACTGGCGAAGATGGCATATAGAGAGGGAGGGTGTTGACTGTTGGCATTTGGTCATCAATGCATTGGTTTAGCCATTATAGAATGGTTTTCTGTGCAAGGTTTGGCCATGGGCAGGCATATTTAAACCAAAGCTGGCGCCAAGTTTCAAACCCTATGCCTCTCTGTCTCAAGTTCCTCACTGGTCAGTTGGGCATCCCAAAACCAGCATCCTCCGGCCACTTGTCACCCTCTTCACGCAATTGGCACTCTCCTTTCAGACCCCTATTCTTTCTTCATGGCCTTTCATCCCTATCTCTACAATCCAACCCCAAGGCGTTTCTTGACGCGTTTATCTTGCTCTAACACCTGGGCTGTTTCGACTGGCAGCACCTTGCACTCTCCATAACCCTTCCTAACCAATTTTACCTTCACTAGAAATCAAAACACCTACTTAAACACACACCCCCATACACACCCACACAAACACAGGTTTCTCTCTGATTACTTGCACAGCTCCGAAGACTCATCATTCACTCTCTGCCCATTTTGATAATATGGAGAACGTTTTTCCCACTTTATCAACCAGCTCAGGCAACACCACCACTACCACAAATGCTAGCTCAGTAATGATGGGCTGTCCTCAGAATTCCCCGCTCTCCTCTATATATGGACCAAGCCACCCTTCAATATCTTCAAGCTCATTAACTCACTCAAACTATTTTGCACCACAGTACTATACGACACCGCCTTGTGAAACTACGCAATTTCCATCTACACATGCTCTAGACCAGCGTAGCCAGTATACACCAGCTCCAGATCCTTTCTATCCTGTCATGGTTGGCCAAAATGCAATTGAAATGCAAAGATCGTGCATTTTGCAGCCTAATGCGTTGCAATTAGAGCAAGAAAGGAGAGCTCTAGATGCATACAAGACCAAGGTGGCAAGGTGCATGAGAAAACTTGCACGCCAAAGAAGGCTTGGTAAAGCTTCTTCTGGAGCTAGTTCGACTAGAATAATGGATGCAAGTAGATTGGCTTTGCATGGTGCTAGTACTGGTGGCCAAAACTGCAGGACCAACAGTGCTAGCAAAGATCTTTACGAGTTCCTAACACCAGATAACAAGGTGCGTTCTTGTCAAATCATGTATTTTGTGTACTCATGCTTTTTGCCTTTATCTGTAACCTTTTTGATTCCTTAAAGAATTTTTCTTGTTTGGGCGGCGCAGAAACTGAGAGCGTTGCTTAGAAAAGACTTGAAGAATAGTGATGTTGGGTCTCTTGGGAGGATTGTCCTTCCGAAGGTATGGTTCTCTTGATATGAATGATGCTATTTTTAGTCCCTTGTGATTGTATGCATATTTTTTTGGTTGCTTTGATTTCTGTTCCTTTCTTTCATCATTTCTTTTCTTCTAAAATGACAGAAAACGAGGCAAAATAGCCAACCGTTACCCATGTTTGACTTTCTCTCAATGAACACTGCTACATGAATGTGATTTAAGACTGCCCAATAACTAATCTCCTCCTGACTTCTCGATTTGAGCACAAAAACAAGAAATGTTAAAGATTGAAATTATCCCTTCTTTTTCATTTTCCTGTGTTTCTTACAGAAATGGTAACCTCTAATATTTAAATTTCTTCTTGCATGTCAATCCAGAGAGAGGTAGAGGAAAATCTTCCTCCTCTGCATGATAAAGAAGGAATCCTACTTGTGCTCAGAGATATATACTCCAACCAAGAGTGGGGTTTAAAGTTAAAGTGAGCATTTTGATACTACATCTTTCTTTTCCTTCTTTCCTTTAAACTGTGATTTTGAGTTCTGTTTCCCATTAAGAACAAGTTCTTTGTCTGTTGGTAACGTAGGTTTTGGACTAACAACAAAAGTAGGATGTATGTTCTTGAAAATACAGGTAAACTCACTGCTAATTTCAGTTCTTTCTGGTTTAGTCCAAGTTTTATTTTGTATCTATTTCATTCTAATACTCAAATCTCTTTAATTTGCATTCCACAGGAGAATTCGTTAAGCGACATGGGCTGGAGACTGGAGATTCCCTTACACTTTACGAGGATGAGAGCAAGAATCTCGTGAGTTTATCTACCTAATTACTGCAATGACACTGGTAATTTAGATTATGTCCAAAAATTAAAAGTGGGATTTGAATTTTCAAAGGTGCACAAGTTTGTTTAGCTATGTGACAACGCTGCCCTTGACTTTTTCAATGACGCTGACACATCCTTTGGAAGGATATGAAGGGATAAAGACACACTAATGGTGCCGAAAATGACAAAACTTAACTGATGATGTGCTGGTAATAGAACTGCATTACCATATACAACTTGGACACTCACCTGTGTGGCCCGAGTGCTATCTTTTTGGGGCTGAGGAGGAAACGGTCCTACGTGCTAGTTTGGCAGGACCTTTGCTGAACACGTAGGGCATGACATTACATCATATTACAAAGAATGCCTTTTTTATCATCCAAAAGAAAAACACATAAGCGTATCGTATAATCACAGAAAAAAGATTTGAAACACAAACATTTTTGTGCGAAAATTGCGGTCTTTTAGATGGGGCTCTCTCCAGGACTGGCCCGTGTTGCCGTCCAGGGCCTTTCATGCAGTAGTAGGTTAACAGGATAACCCAGATGAGGCAGTCAAGACAAGCATCTGAATCAAGCAATCTTTAGATTTAGATTGTGTTTAATTGAGTGAAGTGTTATGTTAATGTTTCCTGATTATTTTTTGAATAAATGTTCAGTAAACGCAAAGCCATGAGTAACTTTTTGATGTCTTTTGTCGTGCGAGGAAGCAGTATTTCTCGATCACAAAGGTGCAGAGACCAGAATCAGCCCTAGCTCAAACACCACCCCCTAGGAGCCACAACTGTAACCACCTGACAGAACATATGTGGCAAGATGGGGATGAAGAATATACATCTTTAGCATTACTGACAGAACAACTTGAGAATAAAGAACAAGAAGAAGCTAACAGCCTTGGAGCTGTGCCTATGGACTTTTCTTGTTCATATACAAACGAACTAGAACTTAACAACAATCCTTTCAACAACTTTAGTACCTATACCCAACCAGCATCTGCAGCTATGCAAACTTCTCCGCCAAATGGTAAAATGAAGGCGGTAGATGATTCTCATGACGTAGATGACTGCTATACTGGTCTTGGTATGCTCCCTGATGTCCATAGCTACAATTTTTCGCTATGATCATTAGAATATTATTAACAATAGCTATCAAGATTCATGACATAAAAGAAGATGGGGTTACAGCAGTTTGTCAAAGCATGGTCGGTGCAACTAAAAGGTTGAGTAATCAGTTGTTGATAGTATACTGATACATTCATTTTTAACAAGGGTATTGGATATTAGAAGTTTCTTTGTTTTTTTTTTTTAGACGAGGAAAAGGAAGAGCAAGAAAAGAAAAGGAGAAGAAATTTGTATTACTTGTATGTTTGAGGATTTTTTCTGTAATAGCGTGCGTTTCAAAAGTAAGCAATCCTTTTCAATTGAATAATTTCTCATTTTTTACAAAAGACATTATGCTCTTAATTTATTTATTTTTCAACTTTTTTCTTTTTTCTTTACAAAATTTTTTTTTATCTCGGTGGTCAAGGATACCTCTATTTATATTTATATACAAGATTATTTTTAGTCCTTCATTCTCTGACTTATGGAGGTGATGATGATCCACATTGTTATTTTTTTATAATCAATATCTATCGAGTATAGTATATTTACCAGAAAAAAATAAATTATTTTGATATTTATTGAAAAAATGTGTGTGTATATATTGAACAAAATATATTGGGGTTTTCATTGTAGTAATAGATATAATTTACTATGTGTTGCTATAATAAAATTACATTTCTTTTCTCTGTGGTTTAAAAATGAGGATTTGGTGTTGGGGGCAGCTTAGTTTTTTTAAATGGCTTATTAGTTATTTAAAAAATTATTAACAACTAATTGGTGATAGAAAAAAACCAAAATACCTAGGTCTAATTTGGCTTCTTTATCTGCTTATAAAGTCACAAATGGGATTCCACGACAACATTGAATAGTGATTTAAGAGTGTATACATAGAATTTCTTACAGTATTTTTCATAGTTATCGTACCTGATTCGGGCTTGACTGAATTAAAAAATCAGGTTTTGAGTTGTACGAATTAACTTAGATTAATTAAAAAAAGTTAAAAAACTTTTAAAAATTTAATATTTTATATAAAAAATTAAAAAACAATCTAGGTTATATATATTATAAATAATAAAGCTTAAAATATTATTTTCAAAGGTTTTTTATTCAATATTAAAAAAAATATTATATTAATATGTTATTATTTTAAGTTAAAATATTTAAACCAAAAATACTTTTTATCCTATATTTGAAAAACATAATTTTTGTTGTTGTGAATATAGAGTATATATATTAAAAGGCTTCAAATTTCATATTAAAAAATAATTTTTTTCTTATTAATATGAAGTATATGTACTAAAAGATTTCAAATTTCATATTAAAAAATAAAATATTCTTCTAATATTTATATAGTGAACTTTAAAAAGGTTAATAATCAACTAAAAAATATATATATAAAAAAGGGATATTTGACTAGAAAAAAACACATTTAAAAAAAAAAGATCTTAACTAGATTTTGTCAGGTCATCTAAGTCATGTGTCAATCCAACAGATCAACTAGGTTTTATCAGGTTTTTACTCATTCTAATCTTTTGACTTACTCGGATCAATTCAGCCACCAAATTAACCTATCAAACCAATGTCCACCACCGCTGTAACTTTCTCTCCTCCCCTTCCCTCCACACCACCACCACCTCTACCTCCACCACCACTCCTCGCCTTTCCCTCGTCAAACCCACCACCAAACTCCCTTTTTCCTTTTCTCTCTCACCCAAATCCCCATTTCTCTACCTCTTCTCTTTACACCCCAAAATGATAACAACAATCACAAGAGCCAATTCAAGTGACATTGACTTTTTCTTTTTTGACAATGTTAATCCAGAAGAATGTCGGTGGGAGAAATACTGGTGGTAGCTTTAGAACACTCAGAGGAGATAAAATACACGGTTTTATTACAAAACAAAAGCTTACAAAATACAAATCACATAATCTTAATACACACCCTCTCTTTCTCTCTTATGTTTCTATCTTTTCTTTCCCACACTTAATAATATAAATTTAACAGCTTATTTATATATAAATTAAGAGGTAGTACGAGGTGGTGGTTAATATTAGGTGGCAGTTGGTGGTGGTGGTTGATAATAGGTGGTTGCAGGTGGTGATTGGTGGTTGATCGAGTTTACCACAACAAATCCCCCTTTTAAACTCAATCGAGGGATGTCATACCAAGCATGAACTTCAGTCTGATAAATATTTCTCCCTTCAATGACTTCGTAAACATATCTGTAACTTGATTATTTGTTTTGTAGGATATCAGTTCAACTTCTTTGTTCTTCACATGCTTTCTGATAAAATGATGACGTGTATCGATGTGTTTACTTCATCATGATACACTGGATTCTTGGCTAATGTAATTGCTGATCGATTATCAATATAAATTTTTATAGGAATTTCTTAAGGAAATCCCAAAAACTTTAGCATATTCCTTAACTATACTAGATGACATACAACTGAGTTAGCAGCAATATATTCAGCTTCATAGCTTGATAACGTTACTATCAATTGCTTCTTGGATGACCATGTAAAAGATGTATCTCCCATGAAAAAAACAAATCTAGTTGTGCTTTTCCTTTCATCTATATCTCTACCTCAATCACTATCCGAGTAGCCAATAAGATTGAAGTTTTCACTTAAGGTATAAAACATTCATTCATTTATTTTTCCTTTGATGTAGTGAAGAATTCTTTTGGCTGCATTTAAGTGAGGCTGGTCTGGTGTCTCTATATATCTGCTGATAAGTCCTACTCCGTAGAGTATATCTGGTCTGGTACATGTCAGGTACCTTAAGCTTCCTACTAAGCTTTTGAAGTAAGTTGGATCAACATTTTCAACTTTACTCTTCCTCAATTCTACTCCATTCTCAACTGGAGTTGATACTGGATTGCTACTTTCCATCTTGAACCTTTTAAGAATATCTTTGGCGTAATCGCTTTGAGATACAAAAATCTTTTTTTCTTTCTGCATTACTTCTAAGCTAAGAAAATATGCTATAAAACCAATGTCTGTCATCTCAAACGCCTATACCATGCTTTTCTTGAAGTCTTCAAACATGGTAGGATTGTTGTTTGTGAATATCAAGTCATCAACATATAGGCACACAAAAAATATGCTGTCATCTGCTTTCTTCATATATATTACATGTTCATATAGACATTTTTCAAATCCATTATCTTGAAAATACCTGTCAATTCTGGTATTCTAAGCACGCAAAGCTTGTTTCAAACCGTAGAGGGCTTTCTTCAACTTGTATACTTTGCCTTCATTTCCAGCTTCAATGTATCCAAGTGGTTGTTCAATATAGATCTCTTCTTAGGAAGCCATTCAGAAATGCTAAATTCATATTGAGTTGATAGATTTTCCGTCTATGTTGTACAACTAGTGAGATCATCAATCTGATTGTCTCTAGCCAGGCTACTAGAGTAAATACTTCTCTTTAGTCAATGCCTTTTCTCTGTTTGTAGCTTTTTACCACTAATCTTGTTTTGTATCTTTGTAATTCACCTTTTGCATTCTTTTTTATCTTATAAACCCATTTGACACCAATTGCTTTCTTATTTTCTAGTAGATTAGTCAACTTCCAGGTGTCATTCTTTTCAATGACATGTATTTCTTCATTTATTGCTTCTATCCACTTCTCTTATATGATAGCTTCATTGAAGCTAAATGGGTCACTATCTGTGAAGAAACAAAATAGAGTTGTATCTTTCATGAATTGAGTGGCATCGTACAACTCTTCTAGATTTCTCATCCTTCTTGGTCCTTCTGATGAGGATGCTGATGAGGATGTTGATGATGATTCTTGTGTGTTTCTCCTGTTGAATATAGGTAATCTATGTACTAGACTTTGTGACTCATCTGCTGGACCTTCTGTAAGTACTATTGATACTTCCACTTCATCTTTAAGGATCAAATCAATATTGATCCATTTTATTTCTTCTTGATCATCATTCCATTGTTAAGATTTATCTTCTTTAAAGATAACATCTCTACTCATGATCACCTTCTTTATGATGAGATTATACAGCTTGTATCTCATCCTTCTATCACCATATCCGATAAAGATGCATTTCTTGCTTTTATCATCGAGTTTGATCCTTCTTGCATATGGAATCGTTGTATATGCTACACAACCAAAGACTCGAAGATGAGTAACATTTGGTTTGTGATCACTCCATGCTTTTTCAGGTGTGACAACTTGCAAACTTCTGGTTGGGTAGTGATTCAGTAGATACATTACACATGATGCAGCTTTAACCAAGTATTGTTTAGGCAACTTTTTTGCTTTGAGTAGACTTCTTGCTATGTCAAAAATCGTTCGATTCTTTCTCTTGGCTACATTGTTCAGCCGTGGTGTATAGGATGATGTTGTTTGATGTCTGATGTCTTGTAGTATACAAAAGGCTTCAAAGTCATTTGCTGTATATTCTCCACCTTAATCAGATCTTATGGTTTTGATCTTATAGCCACTTTGCTTCTCAATAATTTCTTTAAAATCTTTAAAATAATTGAATACTTTTGACTGTCTTTTAAAAAATTATACCTATTTCTTTCTGCTAAAATCATCAATGAAAGTAAGAAAGTACCTATTTTGTTAAGTTAACATAGGCTTTATAGGACCACACACATCTGTGTGCACCAATTCCAGTGATTTTTTTGCTTTCTAGTTAACTTCTTTGGCAAAACTGGATCTGTGATATTTGTTAAGTACACAACTCTCATATACTTTATCTAGATGATTAATGTGGGACGTACCTTTGACCATATTCTTGCTTGCAAGCATCTTCAGACTGTGAAATTTATATGTCCAAGCCTTTGATGCCAGAGCTACTCTTCATTGTTAGTGATGACACTACAACATATTGGATGTTTATAGAAATCATCCTATTCTTGGACATCTTCACATGGACAATTAATCTTCCACTGTAATCTTCAATTATTAGAGTATAACTCTTCATAAGAAGAATGTAAACTTTCTCTAGAAGTTGGTCTATACTGAGTAAGTTATGCTTAATACCTGGAATATAATAAACATCTGCAATATAGCTATGATCACCATTCTTCAAATGTATTAAGATGTTGCCTCTTCCTTTCACTAGAACTTTGGAGATGTCTCCAAAAGTGACTTGGCCTTTTATAGTTTCATCTAAATCTTCAAATAAATCTTATTGACCACTCATATGATTGCTAGCTCTAGAATTCAAATACCATATATTCTCCAGATTCTCACCTAGTCCTTGTAGGACTAATAATGTAGGTGGTCCTCTGATGATGACATCCTTCTCTGCATAATTGGCTTGTTTATATACCTCTATTGGAGTTTTCATTCGACATTCAATGCTATAGTGCCCAAATTGATTGCAACTATAACACTGGATATTTTTTTATCACGGTTATTTTAACCACCTCATCTTCCTCTAGGAGTAAATAGTTGTTGTCCCCGACTTTCTCTAGTGGTGTTTCTACATCCTCTTCCTCTGAATCTTGTATTCCAATATCCTCTTCTTTGAAATTGCTGAAATCCTCCTTGTCTTTATTGACTCCTTTCTTGAGTGGTATATCCACTTGTTGAAATCTCCCTACCATTCTTAAAGACAACTTTGATTGTAAGGCATGCTCAATTGTCTTATCTCTATTTCTTTTCATAATCTTTTGCTCATGAGCTTGTAGAGAACTCATAAGCTCATCCACCATCAACTTATCCACTTCTTTGGATTCTTCAATAACAACAATAACAAAATTAAATTTTAGATCCAGAGATCTCAAAATTTTCTCAGTAATTCGAGCATCTGAGAGGACTTCTCCATTTCTTCTTATTTGATTGATTATTACCATAATTTTTGTGTGATAATTAGAAATAGATTTTGATGACTTTATTTGCACTGATTTAAATTCACCTCATAAAAATTAAAAATGAATCTTCTTGATTCTGTCAGCACCTTTGTATTTTTATTGGAGAGCCTCCCATATTTCTTTTGAATTTTTTGCAGAAACAATGATCTCGAAAGTGGCTTCATCAAGACCTTGATAAATGATGGTCTTTACTTTATTGTCTTTCTTTCTATTGGCTCTTAGGAGTTGTTTGTGTGCCTCCTGTAATAAATCTTTTGCTTCTTTGGACTTTAGTTCATCATAGCCATATTCAACAATCTTTATACACCTTTGTGAACCAAGAAATACCTTTAATATGATACACCAATTATCATAGTTGTCTTTGGTTAGTTTCAGGATGAGTGTTTGTGCATTTTCTTAAGTCATTATGCTCTTTGAATGACTATATCACCTTTTGAGAGTTGAATTTGAAGAAACAGACACTATAGATAGATATAGAATGCTCAAAACAGTAGAGAACTAGTCTGACTTGATTGAAAATAGGTTAAAAATGGGCTGAACCGGTCAAGAAACTGATTTTAGATGTCGAGTGGTTCGCTGGGTTGAATTAAGAATATTCTGGGGAATATTATATGTGGCTCAACTTGGCGGCTTATACCGTTTGCATGTCTTGGCTTTACAGCTTGGTTGGGGGCTTATACGGCTCAGCTCGACTCAAATATGGCGCGCGTGTGGCTTAGTCGTCTTCTTCATTGAGGTGCGTCGGCTGCGCGTGGGCTATCAAGGACTTCGATGAAGCTAATTTTTGCACCAGTGAGTTCGTATGGATGAATGCTATACGATGGAATGATCAAAAATGATTTTTGATAACTTTGAAAAATTGGATATATCCCAAAAACACCTCTGTTTTTCTGACGAACGGGGCTCTGATACCAATTATTGATGGGAGAAACCACTAGTGGTCACTTTAGAATACTTAGAGGGTATAAAACACATGGTTTTATTACAAAACAAAAGCTTACAAAATACAAAACACACAATATTAATACACACCCTCTCCTTCTCTCTTGTGTTTCTCTTTTTTCGTTCCCACACTTACTAATATAAACTTAACAGCTTATTTATACATAAATTGAGAGGCAGCTAGTGGTGGTGGTTGATAGTACGTGATTGCAGGTGGTGGTGGTTGATAGTAGGTGGCAGTTGATAGTAGTGATTGATAGTATGTGGCTGCAGGTGGTGGTTGATGGTAGATTGAGTTTACCACAACAAAGAAGAAGTTGTGTTTGACCCACCAACCCAACCTGAAGACTACATTCCTCCACCCTCCTTTTGATGAAGGTCCAATAGAAATTGAAGAAGAAATAGCTGGAGCTTATGAGGAACTTTAGGATCCTGCATATAGTGGAGTTAGTTTTTTAGGCAAAGATATTTATGTAATGGATTCTAAGGTTGAAAAAACTTGTGGGTGGGGATTAAAATCAAAGAAAGAGAAAATTAAGGATGGGTTAGATGAGAGAGTAGTTCAAGTTTGGAGAGTTACTATGGTTGTTAAAGGAGGGAACAATTGCATTTTAGAGCTGTTGTTGTTGGAGACAAATAAGGTCAAGTTAGGGTTGGAGTTGGAAAAGCTAAGGAAGTTATTGCTGCTGTCTAAAAATCAGCTCTTAATGCTAGAAGAAATATTTTTACCGTACCTATGACAAAGTATTTGACTTTTCCTAATAGGTATATCTCTTATCCTGAAAGTTTTAATATTTTTATCGGTTTGTTATTTTCATGTGGTTTATTATGTTTATAGATAATGTGAATGTTGGTTTTGTATTCTAAGGATTGTAATTTGGTGATGGTTGCATTTGGTTCTTTTTTATTTTTGTTTAAGTGTGAAGGCTTGGCTTTTCGGTTAATTTTATTGACTCTTTGGTTTTAAGTGAGTTTTGGATTTGTTGGTTGTAAGGATTTTAGGCTATGACTGATTGTGAAATTAACTTTTTTGTATTGGAGAACCAAGTCTGACCGAGAACATGCAGCTATTTTGGAGATGGATAGTTTGCATAATCGCATTTGAGATAGAATGTGGAAAGCCAAATATATGAAGAATTGTTAAGTTGGCTGTGACAAGTCATTCAAGTTTCCTGTACGAGTAAGGCTGACTTGATTTGTGGAATTTCTGCAAGGATTAGAGGTGTTTTCTGGCAGTTTGGAGATGAGAGCTGTTAGAATTAAGGCTGCAAGAATTGTAGGTGTTTTCTGGCTCTTTAGAGATGGGAGCTGTTAGAATCAAGGGTTATTAACTATTTTTATAACATGTAAGTGTAATGTTCTACGACAGAAAATGTCATTGGGTGAGTATATAGGATTTGGAGTTGCTTTGGAGGGTTTGGCGATTCGTTAATCTGGGATATAGGTTTAGGACTAGCTGTTAATTGATGTATGTTTAGATTGGGTGCCTATAGGAAGCTTAGGGCATCAACATCGCTTTTGAAAGTCTAATTTGATTTACTCAAAGCACTGGCTTTCATCATTCCTTGTGTCTCAGTGCAAATTAGGCATTTTTGAATTTATGGAAACTTTTGTGCTTTTTTTCTTTTTCCTTTTTTTTTTAAATTTCAAATCAAGACTTTATTTCTTAAAAAAATAAAACTGCAGGTCTATGGGGAGTTTTCTGAACTTCTATCTTGTTGTAGAACCTAGTTGCCTAGGAGGTGAAACATGAATATAAATCATCTGAAGTTGATTAACTCTATATTTTTTCAAGTTACATGCTCTGAAATAGGATGGGTATTCCTAGAAGGTCAAAATGAATATTGTATATCATCTCAAGTTGATTGGCTGATATATTATCAAGTTATACACCCTGACGATAGGTTGGATATGCATCTGCATTGCTTTCCATTTTCTCTTCTACTGTGAACTGTTTTGTGTGTGTGAGGTTTGCTGTCATTCATCCAGCATTGATAATATAGTGCAATTGTTATGAAAAGAAACACCTTCATTGACTATGAGACGAGACCATGTCCCGAGCCTTTTTGGTAGAGATTTGAGCATGATAAGGATATTGGAGCATGATAGATGCATAATTCACAAGAATACTCCTCTTTTAACCTGCCCACGATGGCATGCCTCGCATTTTACTTATTTGGGTTTTCATATAACGGAGCAAACAGTTCCAAATTAGCTAATTTATTAACTAGGCATTTTTAACAACTGAATGGCAGATCTGAGGGAGATTTTGGGGCAGCAAAGGTGATGCTCAGACCTGCCTCACCTGGTACTGGAGTGATTGCTGGAGGTGCTGTGAGAATTGTTCTCGAAATGGCAGGTGTTGAGAATGCGCTGGGAAAACAACTTAGGAGTAAGAATGCGCTCAATAATGCGAGAGCCACAGTTGTTGCGGTGCAAAAAATGAGGCAGTTCAGGGATGCTGCTCGTGAACGTGGGTCCCCAATGGAAGAACTGTGGAAATGAGTTGTTCGGAAGAAGCTTTAGTGATTTTCCCCCCTTGAATAACCTTTATTTGTATGCCTCCAATGTACATTCTGTACAAGGTCATTGTGATTCAAAATAGCAGCAACAAGAACAAGATTCATTCATTTTTCTTTCATGTTTGTTGCCCAAGTTATTCTTTAATTGTCGTGAGAGCTATTTTATCCATCTTTCCTTGACAATCTGGCATATTACTGTTACTCATCAATCCAAAAGTTTGGCACTCTAGACTTCTGAAGTTGTAACTGGAAAGTCCTGACTGTTTTACATCAGCATGATACCTGAACGGTTTCTCCAGGTAACAAGATGAAGATATTGAACATTCTGTTTGCAACGCAAGAAATACTAATGGATGAAATTTTGGGCATGGAAATGGCATGGAGTGGAAGCTGCAGCAATTATGAAATATGTACGTCTTCTAAAATACTTGTTTATTATTTATACAAGTATAATTATTTTAAATGGCTAGTTGAAGTATCTACACGTTGGTAGTCGAGAGGTTGGGGTGGCCAGATATGCTGGACACGGATCTTGGATTCAACTCCCATTAGAAGTTAAGCGAATTTGTGTTTTATCATGTCAATCGGTGCGAGCATGTGAAAATCCAACCTGCATTTAAAGAATATTTGGGAGAATGATGTAAATTGTGTTTTTAAAATATGTAATGTTTTTTAAAAAAATTAATTTTTTTTATATATTTTAAATTGTTTTGATATGTTAATTTTAAAAATACATGTACTCAATTATTCTACCACATCGTGTTGGCAGTGCAGCAGTCTTATCCGATGTAAGTCATGACATTCATTTTATTTATTTTTATAATATTATTTTTTACATCAAATTGTTTATAATATGGTATGTGCATATAACAAGCTGCTTTATCACATCAGCATGAGACATGCTTACATTTACGTAGATCATATTTTATAAATATACTTTCAATAAAAAAAAAAAGATTATATTTCTTTGACCATCACTATTGTTATCCTTGTTACAACAACTAAAACACAATTTTTTAGCCAAACACGCGTTATAATTTCCCTTGTTAGAAGCATCTGTTCACTCATGGCAGGTCTTAGGAAAGCAAGAATTGTCAACTTAATCCATATACATAGTTAATCTTGGATTCTTGATGCACTAAAATTGATCTGAAAAATATTAATAGATTCTAAGAATATATTTGGTAATGCCATGTATGATGCTTTTGCAAGGTATTTTTCAATTAAAATTATATTAAAATAATATTTTATGATTTTTTATTTTTAATATCAGCACATTAAAATTATTAAAAAAAATATCTAAAAAAACATTAATTTGATACCTTTTAATAAAAAAATAATTTAAAAAATAAATAAAATATAAAAACAAATACACCCTAAAACTAGAAAAAAAATATATTGTTCACTCATGCCTTTGAACAAAAAGTCTCTTATGGTCTTGTTTGGTAACCCATTAATGCCATTGAATGTTGTTCACTCCAAAATGTGCTTTCGTTGCCTTGGGTCCCGAAAATTGAAACGTTTTGGGATAACTTTACATAGGTCCCTCAACTTTGATGTGAGTTTTATTTACATCCCTATATACCGATTTAAGCAATGTTACCCCACAAGTACTTGTAAAGTTGATACACTTAATGGAAATTCTAGAAATTGAGTATAGAAGAGAGATGAAGAATCCAGAAGAACAAATGACAGGAATACTTCTCTTTTAATCTAAATTTAAAGACTAAGTAATATTAGTTTTAGAATTGTCTCGATCACAACTCACTGTAGACCAACCATTAACTCGTAATTCTATAATAATACCAATTAAAGAGCTCTGTAAATATGGACATATGTGATTGTGTGGTATAAGGCATGATAACTTGTATGCATATTTATAGCATTGAGTATCTCAAGGCCAAAACAATTTTTTTAAAAAAAATTTAATAAAAGGTGATTGTTTTGAGTAAAATATTACATAGAAAAATGTTTAAAGAGTTTTTAGTGTGTATTTCTTGTAAAATATTAAAAAAAAATAATATCAACACCATATATTTTATAAACATAAAAAATATTTCCATCTTATAATGTTTTGTAAAATAATTTATAATAGTAATCTATTACAATATGATCAAATAATTTCCACCACAATACCTCCAAAACCTTCACCATCAAGAATTTTGAGAATATTGTATCTTTACCGTTCTATTCAAATCTTATTTGAATAGTAAGTGCAAACCATTTTTAAAAAAATCAAAATTAAAATTGAATTCATCACCATTGTCATTGCCATTAGCACTACTAACACCATTACTCTCCTATAAACATTCCACTACCACCATTGCATCATCTATATAATATATATCATCAAACAACAATTATCGCTCCTATCATTAATCTATCATTACCATTAAACTCTTAACTTCATTACACTATTACTACTATCTCCTCATCCCTTACCTTTATTATTTTTACCGTGATTGTGATTATTTTTACTGCCACTATAGCATTATTATAACAACACCATTATTAACTTGCATTCATGATCTTCACCACTACATAACCATCGTCACCATGCCAACTTCCGCCACCTCCACCTCCACCTTGTTTATATCACACTATCACTATTACATCATCATATAACATATTATCATCATTCCATTATTATTATATTTTTAAATAATTATTTACAAAATATCATGATTTTTTTTAATTTAACGTTTTAGTGTAAAGTAGTTAATTGACTCATGCTATGTTATTGGTCGGGTTAAAAAAATATATTAAGACAATGCCATTGTTTTTAAAAATGCAAGAAAAATCTAAGACTTTAGCCATTGACTTGACTGGGTTAAATAAGATCATTTAATTTGATAATATAATTTAAAAAACATCAACAATAAATTAATAAAAAAGGTAATAATTATATGTAAAAAAATAAGATGTCAATATCATATTTGGAAGGAGAAGAAAAAACACTTTTTGAAGACTCATCATTGCTATGACATTAACAATGTCGCACCATCATAAAAAACTTATCGAGACGGTTCTAACGTCACTACAAAAGGCTAAATGACAACATCAAAAGAAACTATATACGCCATTAGAGAACAACTTAAAAGGCAAACAAAAAAATATCATGATGTAAGCAAATTATGCTTATATTTAATAAATCAATCTAATTTAATTCAAAAAAAGTATTTTAAAAAAGCTAAATTTAATAAACAAATAAAAAAACTTGAGATAAACGGGTTATTTTTAAAATTAGTGAAAAATCATATAAAAAACAAATAAAAAAGAAGTTCAATCTCGAATTGAAAAAAATATTGAAGGATGATATAAAAAAGTCATGATCCTAAAGAAATGGGGGAAAACCTAGTATGCTTACGGGAACCTCGAAAACTTGAGCTAATTTCTCAAACTAATTCCTAACAAATTTAGTGTTAAATAATAAAATAATAAAATATCAATTTTAAAAATTAGCCTAAGAGAAGTACCTAAAAATGATAAATATAAAGACTCGAGATAACCTTAGTTATTTTTAAAATTGGTGAAAAACTTCATAGTTTCTAAACCATTACACAAGTTGACCCAAGACAAGTTCTAAGTCGCGGGTTAAGTAGGTTGACCCAGGTCAACTAATTATTTTTTATTTTATAAAAAAGTAAAAATGATATCATTTTAAGAAAAAAATTAAAAAAATAAAAAAATCAATGGGTTTTGAATTGATATTTTTCGAGCTGACTGAGTCGATGGTCAGCCAAGATTTTTTACCAGATTACATTATGTTAACCCATGGGGTGAAGTTTTAAAATAGTGAAAAACTTTATGAAAAGAAAAATAATAAAAATAATGGATTTCAATCTTCAATTAAATAAATGTTGAATAATAAAACTAAAAAAATATAAGTTAAAAAAAAAAAAAGCAAACTTGGATGAACCTAATAACTCTAGGTTAATCTCTAAAAATTTATAACCTTTGAAATCCTAGGCTCGGACTCAAATTAGAAGCTCAAATCCCAAATTAATTTAGTTTTAAAGAATAAAATTGGAAAAAAATCAATTTAAAAAATTTATCAAAGTAAAAACAATAGCAATCAAAAGAATAATGATAAAATTAGATAGAAAAAAAAACTTAAAGAGAATGAATTTATAGAACAATCAACTTTAAAAATTATCTCAAATAAAACAAATAGTAATAAAAAAAATAAAGATCAAATTTAAAAGATAAAAAATATAAAGGAGATGAAATTGAAAAAAATTATAATTTTATAAATTAATTCAAATAAAATAAATAATAAATAAAAGAACTTAGATCACATTTGAAGGAAAAACAAATTAAAAAGTTGCTTTGAAATTCTGAAGGTTCAGGCATAAAAACCAAGGAGGAAATAAGAAAGAAGGAAGAAAAAGGCTATCAACTCCTAACACACGCACTGTCGCATTACGAAGGGGCAACAAAGATTATTCAAATCTTGTCATAAATGATGACATTTAGTTCCTGTCATGACATTGCATGCATTAATAATTTTTTTAATAATATTAAAATTTTATTAAAATATAAAAATATTTTTCAGTCAAATTAAAAATAACAACAATAAAAAAAACTTTGATGAAAGGATAAAAGAGCCATTGAAAGATAGTTTAGTAGGCTTTGCTTTTAAGGGTAATTAAGTAATTTTATTGTGCTAACAAATTGAAAAGGCTAAAAAGCCTAGATGTAAGTTCAAGTTCTTTTTATTTAAAAGGTAATTAAATCATTCTAATGTACCAAAAAAATTAAAAGACTAATATGCCCCCACATAATTTAAAAATAACAATGTCTTCATGGAAAAAACCGAATTACCCTAGATTAAAAGTAAGTTTTTCATTACACTAATATAATAGACAATGACTCGTTAGTAGGTGCAGAATAATTTCATGAGGAGTTTTAGATTTTTTGTACTATCTTATGAATACACTAAAACAGAGTTCTCCTAAACTAATCTTTTATTTCAATTAATAGCTGAACTAATATCCAACCATCTAGCAAATTAATTAAACTTTCTAACCCATAAACCTTTGTATTACACCCAAATTAATCTAACAACATCACAAATTCATTGAAGTTTCCTCTACTATTAATTTGGGGTATCCTGCTTAAATCGATAGTCTGGAAATTTAATTGAAAGCCACATCAAAATATAGGGACCTATTTTGAAGCCGCCTCAAATTTTTAAGAGAGTTTGCCAAGCGCTAACAATGGTGTTTAGCCTCGCATGTTGAGCTTTCTAGACGGGTTGTTCTCTAATGTTGAAGTCACAAAAACAGCATGAAAGCAGATCAATATAATCCTTGCAGGTTAATATTTGAAATGGATTCTGAAGTCAACTTCCAAAGCATTCTCTCTACTCTGCCGCAAAGCATATATTACACGGCAGATAAAATCTCGAACTGATAGAACATGTCAATTTTCACGAACTGTACATATAATCCTAAAGATCAGAATTTTTTCTACGGAGTTTCCTGAGCTCTTTCTCCTGGAAGGATGGTTACATATGCACACGCATTAACAAACATTACATGTTAACAACTAACAAATGAACAGTTATCACCCATGGATCATTACAGGCTGAATGAAGTTCCCATACATATAATCCTACAGATGAGAATTTTTCTACGGAGTTTCTTGAGCTCTTTCTTCTGTAAGAATGGTTACATATGCACACACTTTAACACATATTACATGTTAACAGCTAAGAAATGAACAGTTATCACCTATGGATCATTACAGGCTGAATGAAGTTCCCATATTGAAGGCATGCAGCTATGTGCAATGCTCATATCAGCCATCTCGCATGACAATTTCAACTTCCCATATATGTAGGACCTCTGAAGGTTGGATCCTGCTGGAGCAGCCATTCTTTCTCCTTGAGATACTGCAAGAGTGGTTCTGGCTCATTCACGCCACCACATCCATAAGGGCTCGGTCTTTGATAACCATAAAAGAATTTGTTCCTTTGATCATCAGTTCCATGAACAGGAGGGAAACCTGGATGCATTGGCAGGCTCCCTTCATAAACCATTTGATTAGAAGCCACAGGAGTTGCCCACTGATTAAAAAGACTGGACCTGGATATGTCGTGGAAGTTTCCAGTGTTCCCAATGGTGTAAGAATGTACTGGCCATAAGTGACTAGTGGTGAGCTCAGGATTCTGACTTTCCCTGTACTGACGAAGCCATTCAGAAGAAGTCATTCGACGCACTGGTGTGTATGCATCCATGAAGCCTTGAATTCCAGGACTCTGATGAAGAGGTTGATGAGAACCAGTCCAATTTGAATAGCCACTCACTTGAGGTGTGTCAAAATAATTAGAATTAGTTCTGTTGATAGTTCCCGAGCTATTGTAGTCAGTGAATGTAGATTGGATGCCATTAAGCCACACAGCATCATCAGGAAGAAATGGGGCAGACGGCACTGGAGCTGAATAAGGAGGAGAAGAGTAATGTGTGGTCAAATGTTCATGCGTGGAACTAATTACAGAGTCAGTTTCACTGATAGAGAGATCATTCATGGATGCTGAAGCCATTTCCTGAATAGGTGCCAAGCTATGTCTACTCATGTCACCTTTACCTTTCACCCTTTCATTGCTCAAACCTCTATTGAGAACCCAAGCATTGAGTGAGGGTGGCCCAGCAGAAATGGAGGTGCTGAGAGACGGAGTCCCATGAGAGTTAGGAGCTTCTGAAAGCAGGTGGTCTGTTGTATCCTTTAGGGGAGGCTCCTGCTGTTTCACTGGTTTGATGCACCTGAAATTGGTGAGGTCAGAATGGAATGCCG